TCAGGTTGGGTTGTAATACTGGGTGGTTTTAAAGGCTCAGGTTGGGTTGTAATACTGTGTGGTTTTAAAGGCTCAGGTTGGGTTGTAATACGGGGTGGTTTTAAAGGCTCAGGTTGGGTTGTAATACTGGGTGGTTTTAAAGGCTCAGGTTGGGTTGTAATACTGGGTGGTTTTAAAGGCTCAGGTTGGGTTGTAATACTGGGTGGCTCGTGTGTCCAAGCAATCCAAACTACACTGAACAAAAATATAAACAACATGCAACAACTTCAAAGATTGAAATAAATTCATGAGGCCCTTATCTAGGGATTTCACATGACTGGGAATACAGATATCATTAGGCCCTTATCTAGGGATTTCACATGACTGGGAATACAGATATCATGAGGCCCTTATCTAGGGATTTCACATGACTGGGAATACAGATATCATGAGGCCCTTATCTAGGGATTTCACATGACTGGGAATACAGATATCATGAGGCCCTTATCTAGGGATTTCACATGACTGGGAATACAGATATCATTAGGCCCTTATCTAGGGATTTCACATGACTGGAAATACAGATATCATTAGGGCCCTTATCTAGGGATTTCACATGACTGGGAATACAGATATCATTAGGACCTTATCTAGGGATTTCACATGACTGGGAATACAGATATCATTAGGCCCTTATCTAGGGATTTCACATGACTGGAAATACAGATATCATTAGGCCCTTATCTAGGGATTTCACATGACTGGAAATACAGATATCATTAGGCCCTTATCTAGGGATTTCACATGACTGGGAATACAGATATCATGAGGCCCTTATCTAGGGATTTCACATGACTGGGAATACAGATATCATGAGGCCCTTATCTAGGGATTTCACATGACTGGGAATACAGATATCATGAGGCCCTTATCTAGGGATTTCACATGACTGGGAATACAGATATCATGAGGCCCTTATCTAGGGATTTCACATGACTGGGAATACAGATATCATGAGGCCCTTATCTAGGGATTTCACATGACTGGGAATACAGATATCATTAGGCCCTTATCTAGGGATTTCACATGACTGGAAATACAGATATCATTAGGCCCTTATCTAGGGATTTCACATGACTGGAAATACAGATATCATTAGGCCCTTATCTAGGGATTTCACATGACTGGGAATACAGATATCATTAGGCCCTTATCTAGGGATTTCACATGACTGGGAATACAGATATCATTAGGCCCTTATCTAGGGATTTCACATGACTGGGAATACAGATATCATGAGGCCCTTATCTAGGGATTTCACATGACTGGGAATACAGATATCATGAGGCCCTTATCTAGGGATTTCACATGACTGGGAATACAGATATCATGAGGCCCTTATCTAGGGATTTCACATGACTGGGAATACAGATATCATGAGGCCCTTATCTAGGGATTTCACATGACTGGGAATACAGATATCATGAGGCCCTTATCTAGGGATTTCACATGACTGGGAATACAGATATCATGAGGCCCTTATCTAGGGATTTCACATGACTGGGAATACAGATATCATGAGGCCCTTATCTAGGGATTTCACATGACTGGGAATACAGATATCATGAGGCCCTTATCTAGGGATTTCACATGACTGGGAATACAGATATCATGAGGCCCTTATCTAGGGATTTCACATGACTGGGAATACAGATATCATGAGGCCCTTATCTAGGGATTTCACATGACTGGGAATACAGATATCATGAGGCCCTTATCTAGGGATTCCACATGACTGGGAATACAGATATCATTAGGCCCTTATCTAGGGATTTCACATGACTGGGAATACAGATATCATTAGGCCCTTATCTAGGGATTTCACATGACTGGGAATACAGATATCATTAGGCCCTTATCTAGGGATTTCACATGACTGGGAATACAGATATCATTAGGCCCTTATCTAGGGATTTCACATGACTGGGAATACAGATATCATTAGGCCCTTATCTAGGGATTTCACATGACTGGGAATACAGATATCATTAGGCCCTTATCTAGGGATTTCACATGACTGGGAATACAGATATCATTAGGCCCTTATCTAGGGATTTCACATGACTGGGAATACAGATATCATGAGGCCCTTATCTAGGGATTTCACATGACTGGGAATACAGATGTCATGAGGCCCTTATCTAGGGATTTCACATGACTGGGAATACAGATGTCATGAGGCCCTTATCTAGGGATTTCACATGACTGGGAATACAGATGTCATGAGGCCCTTATCTAGGGATTTCACATGACTGGGAATACAGATATCATGAGGCCCTTATCTAGGGATTTCACATGACTGGGAATACAGATATCATGAGGCCCTTATCTAGGGATTTCACATGACTGGGAATACAGATATCATGAGGCCCTTATCTAGGGATTTCACATGACTGGGAATACAGATATCATGAGGCCCTTATCTAGGGATTTCACATGACTGGGAATACAGATATCATGAGGCCCTTATCTAGGGATTTCACATGACTGGGAATACAGATATCATTAGGCCCTTATCTAGGGATTTCACATGACTGGGAATACAGATATCATTAGGCCCTTATCTAGGGATTTCACATGACTGGGAATACAGATATGCATCTGTTGGTCACAGATACCTTAAAAAAAAAATAGGGGCATGGATCATAAAACCAGTCAGTATCTGGTGTGACCACCTTTTGCCTCATGCAGCGCGACACATCTCCTTCGCATAGAGTTGATCAGGCTGTTGATTATGGCCTGTGGAATGTTGTCCCACTCCTCTTCAATGGCTGTGTGAAGTTGATGGATATTGGCGGAACTGGAACACGCTGTCGTACATGTCGATCCAGAGCATCCCAAACATGCTCAATGGGTGACATGTCTGGTGAGTATGCAGGCCATGGAAGAACTGGGACATTTTCAGCTTCCAGGAATTGTGTACAGATCCTTGCGACATGGGGCCGTGCATTATCATGCTGAAACATGAGGTGATGGTGTAAGTAAGCATTTCACTGTAATGTCTGCACCTGTTGTATTCGGCGCATGTGGCCAATAAAATTTTATTTTATTTTATTTGGTGGCGGATGAATGGCACGACAATGGGCCTCAGGATCTCGTCATGGTATCTCTTTGCATTCAAATTGCCATCAATAAAATACAATTGTGTTCGTTGTCCGTAGCTTATGCCTGCCCATACCATAACACCACCGCCACCATGGAGCACTCTGTTCACAATGTTGACACGGTTTCTGACAGTTTGTGCAGAAAGTCTTCGGTTGTGCAAACCCACAGTTTCAAATTCTTTAAAACGATGTTGTAGGCGGCTTATGGTAGAGAATTCTCTGATAACAGCTCTGGTGGACATTCTTGAAGTCAGCATGCCAATTGCACACTCTCTCAACTTAAAACATCTGTGGGATTGTGTTGTGTGATAAACTGCACCTTTTATAGTGGCCTTTTATTGTCCCCAGCACAAGGTGCACCTGTGTAATGATCATGCTGTTTAATCAACTTGATAAGCCACACCTGTCAGGTGAATGGATTATCTTGGCAAAGGAGAAATGCTCACTAACAGGGATGTAAACACATTTGTTAACAACATTTTAGAGAAATAAGCATTTTGTGCGTGTGGAACATTTCTGGGATCTTTTATTTCAGCTCATGAAACATGGGACCAACACTTTACATGTTGCATTTATATTTCTGTTTAGTATATATCCTCATAGGAGATCCAAACATAAGAGAGTTACACCAATAGATGAGCACCGTGTTAAAAACACAATCATGCAGAATGACAAACTGATGGTTTTGGAGCAGGGGTCTTCAACTCTTACCCTAGGGTCCGGAGTATTACTAGTTTTCTGTTGTACCTGATGATTCATTGCACCCACCTGGTGCCCCCAGGTCTAAATCAGTCCCTGATTAGAGGAGGAACAATGAAAAAACGCAGTGGAACTGGCTTCAAGGTCCAGATTTGAATTTGAAGACTTTAGAATATATTTTATCTAAACAGATCTTTGAGAACTCCATGGAGATGCTACAACAGGATGGTTCCCTGTGACGCCTCAGGTCATTATGAACACGGCTTGTAGCAGAACAAGGACTGGCGTTTTCTCCTGAGGTGTATTCATTAGTGCACAGCATAGCAAAAAAAAAAAAAAACGTTTTGCAACGAAACCAAGAGCTTATATTGGACAAATAGGTCAGTCCCTGTTTTGTTTGCTTCTGTTTGGTTCCTAGTGAATACACCTCTGGATCACCGTTCAAAACTACAGACTGGACAAAAAAATACAAACTTTAATTCATAACTTTGACAAAACATTCATGAATAGGTTGCACATCAGACATCAATCAGTCACACATTATTTAAGACTAGTGTGATATCCTTCATGACTTGTGTTCTTCTGTCACAAAATGTAGCATAATATACTCACATTTGAATAAAAATCTGAAATAAGTTTGTTTAAAAAAAAAAAATATTAGAGCACTAAGTATTCAAGTACAAAAACACTGACACACACCAACACACGAATCACCATATGACATCACAATATAACATGGCTCCTTCAGTCAAGGCCTGGATTCAATCTGATCGGCGGTAGATCAGTAGATCATGACGCGCTTGACATGTTAAAGGTAATCTGAGCTGATTTATGAAGCGTTTACCGTGAACGCGGTCTCTGTAAACGCGGAAACATTGCCTTTTAAAAGGTGCATTAGCCGACAAAAATGCGTTTGGATTGAATCCTGGTCTTAAGACCACTGCTGCTGCCCTGTGGGATGTTGCTTGTGATTTAATGATGTTGGTTGTGATCGGTTGGTTGGTTTGTGATTTGATAATGAATTGGGTTTCTGATAGGTAGATAGGTGATGGAGGGGTTGGTGATTGGTTGTCCCATTGTTGAACACGGTTAGACGCATCAAGCCCCGCTCTTTGGTTTGTACATGGGTCTGATGAGATTTGTGTGTTGCTAGGCAGATTATGAGATCTGGTTGTTGAGCTGTCCTGGGTATTTCTCAAACTTCCTCTCTGCCTCCTCACTGAAGGCATCACCTGTAGGGGCAACCAACAGTCAGAGACAGAAAACCATGGAAGAGTCTGGAACAAACTTAGGTTATGTCTGAAAATGGCAGCATATTCCCTACAGAGGAGCCTTTTCAGACTGGAGATCAATAAAACATGTTAGTTAACTTAAGTCCATGGACTGTTTTTCAAATGACAAATCTCAGGGGGTGCAGCTTCTCACCCATGTGACAGTTGTGAAGCCAGATCCGGTGGCCGTCGTATTTGCAGTTGCATTTCATGGCGTTGTTGGTGAAGTCACTCTCTGCCACTTCAAAGTTTGGATTGATCACAATCTGAAATGATGGAACATCAAACACAACTTACATTTGTAGTTTGCCATATTTCAAAATGTCATGCAGTTACACATTTTGGAAGTTATATGTCTAATTCAGGGCCTCCCCGGGATTTTTTTAACAGCCTCGAAAAGGAAATGGTAGTTCACCTGTAGGATGTAGTTTCCTGGTTTTATGTCGGTGATGTCGATCCACTGGCAGTCGATGTCATGGCGATACAGGTCCCAACACCCCACGGTGATGCCCTGCTCTCCGAAATTAGCACACTCATACCTCTTAGAGATACCTGGAGAACACAGATACACTCATACCTCTTAGAGATACCTGGAGAACACAGATACACTCATACCTCTTAGAGATACCTGGAGAACACAGATACACTCATACCTCTTAGAGATACCTGGAGAACACAGATTACAACAATTAGACTTTTAACCAAAAATACTATATTCTCCAAAACCAGATACAGAATGTTTCACTTGGATTTGGATAAGATATCCCTCTTAAGGATCGGACCCTTTTTTTCAATTTTCGCCTAAAATGACATACCCAAATCTAACTGCCTGTAGCTGAGGACCTGAAGCAAGGATATGCATATTCTTGATACCATTTGAAAGGAAACACTTTGAAGTGTGTGGAAATGTGAAATTAATGCAGGAGAATATAACACATTAGATCTGGTAAAAGATAATACAAACAAAAAAACATGCGTTTTATTTTTTATTTTTTTATAATCTTTGAAATGCAAGAGAAAGGCCACAATATAATATTACAGTTTAGGCGCAATTTAGATTTTGGCCACTAGATGGCAGCAGTGTGTGTGTGTGCAGAGTTTCAGATTGATCCAGTGAAGCATTGCAATACTGGACTATTTTGTATCAAGTCTGCCCAAATGTGCCGAATTGGTCAATTGATACATTTTCAAGTACATAACTATAGAGAACATACAAAAATGATATGGTAATAATAAATTTAAGTTTACACACTCCCAGGAATGTCATACATGATGGATCATTAGCTTATACACTAACTTTCACACATCTAGATGGCCGGGCAGGGTGGGTGTGGAGCCAGAGACAGCAGGGGTTCAAACGGTAGAACCCAGTTCCTACATTTTAATATATAAATTGATTTTATCAAACAAAACTATGCTTCATTTTATCTCTGGGACCCTTAGGATGACAAATCAGAGTAAGATTACTGAATGTAAGTACATTATTTACCTCCAGAGGTGAATGTATCAAACCGGTTGCCGTGATACGTTGTTGTGCACTCTCCTCAAACAATAGCATCGTATTTTTTCACTGTAATCTACTACAAGACCATGGTGCTTGCCTACGGAGCTGTGAGGGGAACGGCACCTCTGTACCTTCAGGCTCTGATCAGTCCCTACACCCAAACGAGGGCAATGCGTTCATCCACCTCTGGCCTGCTGGCCCCCCTACCTCTAGAGAAGCACAGTTCCCGCTCAGCCCAGTCAAAGCTGTTCGCTGCTCTGGCACCCCAATGGTGGAACAAGCTCCCCTACGACGCCAGGACAGCGGAGTCACTGACCACCTTCCGGAGACACTTGAAACCCTACCTCTTTAAGGAATACCTGGAATAGTATAAAAGCAATCCTTCTACACCCCCCTCCCCCACCCCCCCCATTAAAAAAATTATAATAATAATAAATAAAAAAGTAGGGTGGCTATCATAAGTTGAATGCACCAATTTGTAAGTTGCTGTGGATAAGAGCGTCTACTAAATGACGTAAATGTAAAAATGTAATAGCAACTGTAAAGTGGACAGTGCAGTTAGATTAACAAGAATTTAAGCTTTCTGTCCATATAAGACATGTCTATGTCCTGGAAAGTTTACTGTTACTTACAACAGTCATGCTAATCACATTAGCGCACGTTAGCTCAACCGTCCCATATACGGGACACCAATCCCGTAGAGGTTAACACCCAAATAAAGGCTATATTTGATTGGCTGACCATCTAGTAAAGGCTGTTTTGATTGGATGGCACTCCAATAGACCCTGTTCTGATTGGGTGGACCACAGTAGACTGTTCCGATTGGCTGGCCCTCCAGTAAATCCTGTTCTGATTGGTTTGCCTCCCAGACTCACCCTCGTGACACTCTGTGTCCTCCAGACAGAAGGAAGCCTTGTGTCCCTCAGCCACCTTGGTCCCGTTGGATGACAGCAGGTCGTAGTGGGTGAATATGTCCATGCTGTGGTAGTGCCTGCATGGGGAGTCCAACAATAGTTAAAACATCTGATGTGTAACATCAACTCTTATTTTATATTCTGTGCTGTGAATGACACAGCATTTACTTGATCAACCTAGACTATAGAACAGATTCATAGGACCCATCTTCCTGCTTGTTCCAGCAAACTTAGCTTCTGACTTATTTCCTAAACCTGGTCAATACTGAACATCATATTAAGGTGTGGGACATTCATGCAACAAGAAATAACTAACAGGTCTATTACGCTCCAGCAGCTAGAATTTGTCCGTCCACAATTATCCCGTGGGAACATGGCGGCCCTCAATACCAGACAACAGAAAGAGCTGGCCGCTACTATACGAGAGACTGTTCTTGAGGAGACTGTTCTTGACTTCTGCTCACGAACTGTTCGGGCAGGAGAAGCTGGGTCCCGTACCACTGATTAACACTCCGCAGCGGCTCTCGCTCTATGATTGTACGGATTCACAGCTTTGAAGTCAAGGGGCTAATTGGTTTCGCCTTGCAAGCAGGAATCCGGGGTGCCTTGACCTAATGCAGGGGAAGAGGATCACATCTACCCATGACCCTGAGTGCTGAAACCAAGGGAAGTCAGCATCTACGCCAGACCTGAGTGCTGTAAACAGAGGTAAGGATCAGCATCTATACCCAGACCTGAGTGCTGAAACAGAGGAAGAATCAGCAATCTATCCCCCGGGGGAGCAAAACTTTTATCACCGGGACTTAAAAAAATATAACCCCTTTTGGGTTTTAAAAAATTTTATTTTTTTTTTTCCCTGAATCAAAATTTTTAATGTCACAAAAAAATAACCCCTCTTTGGGTCCCCCATAGATTTGTTTTTCCCTTGGTAAACCCAGGGGGCCCTTCCCGAAAAAAGTCCCTTTCCCCAGCGAGAATGTTCCGTCCCCCCCTTTCCCCGGGGGAACGGGGGTTTCCCTAAAGAAACCTCCGCAACCCCCTTTTTTAAGAGTTCCCCAAAATTTATAAGTTTGGCGGGAAGGGGCCCTACTATAAAAGGGGAATAGAATTCCAAGATTGTTGAAAAGGAATTTCCCCTTCCAACAAAAGGGGGCTAAACAAGGGGGAAAATCAGATCTACCCCAGACTATTGGAAACAGGGGAAATGTAACCCAGACCTAGGCGAAACAGAGGGGAAGACGTTCCCGACCTGAGGCTGGGGGAGAAAGCATTTTCCCGCCCCGGGTTTAAAACGAGGGGGGGGATCGGATCACCAACCCCGGTCAAAAAGGGGGAATTTTCGTTCCCAAAATGGGCTGAAAACGGGGAGATCACATTCCCCAGCCCTGATGCGAAACAGGGGAGACAGCATTACCCGACCTGAGTGCTGAAAAGAGGGAGATCACATTCCCCAGACCTGAGTGCTGAAAACGGGGGAGATCAAAATCTACCCGACCTGGTGTAAACAAGGGAGATCGATTCCCCAAACCCTGAGTGCTGAAAAAAAAGGGGGAATCCAATTACCCGACCTAGTGCTGAAACAGAGGGGTCACATCTACCCAAACGGGAGTGTCGAGGAGGTTTTGGGGTGCGGGGAAACAGAGGGAGATCAGCATCTCCCCAACCCAGTGCCGGGAAAAGAGGGAGATCAGATCTCCCCAGCCCTGAGGGGCTGAACAGAGGGGATCGCATCTACCCAGACCTGAGTGCGAAACAGGGGGAATCAGCTTACCCAGCCCCGGAGTGTGAAACAGGGGGGGAGATCAGCATCTCCCCAGCCGAGTGTGAAAAAGGGGAGATCAGATCTACCCAGACCTGAGTGCTGAAAAACGGGGGAGATCAATTACCCGACCTGATGCTGAAACAGAGGGAGTTTTAAACATCTACCCAAAACCCTGATGCAAAACAGAGGGAGATCAGCATCTACCAACCTGAGTGCTGAAAAAGGGAGATGCATCTACCATACCTGAGTGCTGAAACAGAGGAGATCCCACCCCCATACCCAGACCTGAGTGTGAAATAAAGAGGAGATCAGCATCACCCAACCTAGTGGAATGCTAAACAGAGGGAGATCAGCATCTACCCAGACTGAGCTGCTGAAAAAGAACTAAGACTGATTGAAAAACGAGGGAGATCAGCATCTACCGATTGAGTGCTGCTGTGAGAACAGAGGAGATCACATTACCCAACCTGAGTGCTAAACAGAGGGAGATCAGGATCTACCAGACCTGAGTGCTGAAACAGAGGAGATCAGCATCTACCAGACTGAGGCTTGAACTGATTGAAAACGGGAATCAGCATACTACCCAGACTAGTGCTGAATCTGGAAACAAGGGGATAGATTACCAACAGCTGATTGCTGAAACAGAGGAGATCAGCGATTACTCCAGACCTGAGTGCTGACAACAGAGGGTCAGCACTACCCATGACGGAGTGCTGAAAAACAGAGGGAGATCAGATCTGACCCGACCTAAGTATCGAAGCTGACGAGGAGATCGAGCATCTACCCAGACCTGAGTGCTGAATGGAAACAGAGGGAGATAGCATCTACCCCAGACCTGAGTGCTGAAATGCCTGAACAGGAGATCAGCATCTACCCAGACCTCTATGTCTGCTGAAACAGAGGGAGATCAGCATCTACCCAGACCTGGGTGCTGAAACAGAGGAGATCAGCATCTACCAGACCTGATGTGACTGAACAGAGGGAGATCAGATCTACCCAGCCATGGTGATGAACAGAGGGAGATCAGCATACCCAGACTGAGTGTGTGAACAAGGGAGATCACATCTACCCAGACCTGAGTGCTGAAACAGAGGGAGATCAGCATCTACCCAGACCTGAGTGCTGAAACAGAGGGAGATCAGCATCTACCCAGACCTGAGTGCTGAAACAAAGAGGGAGATCAGCATCTACCCAGACCTGAGTGCTGAAACAGAGGGAGATTCAGCATCTACCCAGACCTGAGTGCTGAAAACAGAGGGAGATCAGCATCTACCCAGACCTGAGTGATGAAACAGAGGGAGATCACATCTACCCAGACCTGAGGGCGTTACTGAACTGCTGAAACAGAGGGAGATCAGCGATCTACCCAGACCCTGAGTGCTGAACTGCTGTGAAACAGAGGGAGATCAGCATCTACCCAGACCTGAGTGCTGAAACAGAGGGAGATCAGCATCTACCCAGACCTGAGTGCTGAACGTACAGAGGGAGTCAGCGATCTACCAGCATGACCTGATGGCTGAAACAGAGGGAGATCAGCATCTACCCAGACCTGAGTTGTCTGAAACAGAGGGAGATCAGCATCTACCCAGACCTGAGTGCTGAACTGCTGAACAGAGGAGATCAGCATCTACCCAGACCTGAGTGCTGGAAACAGAGGGAGATCAAGCATCTACCCAGACCTGAGTGCTGAACTGCTGAAACAGATGGAGAGATCAGCATCTACCCAGACCTGAGTGCTGAAAACAGAGGGAGATCAGCATCTACCCAGACCTGAGTGCTGAGGGAAACAGAGGGAGATCCAGGATCTACCAGACCTGAGTGCTGAACTGCGAAACAGAGGGAGATCAGCATCTCCAGCTGAGGCTGAACCGAGGGATCGCATTTACCAGACCTGAGTGCTGATGAAACAGAGGGAGATCAGCATCTACCCAACTGAGTGCTGAAACAGAGGGGAGATCAGCATCTACCCAGACCTGAGTGCTGAACTGCTGAAAACAGAGGGAGATCAGCATCTACCAGACCTGAGTGCTGAAAAACAGAGGGAGATCAGCATCTACCCAGACCTGAGTGCTGAAACCATGAGGGGAGATCAGCATCTACCCAGACCTGAGTGCTGAATGAACAGAGGGAGATCAGCATCTACCAGACCTGAGTGCTGAAAACAGAGGGAGATCAGCATCTACCCAGACCTGAGTGCTGAACGTGCTGAAACAGAGGAGATCAGCATCTACCCAGACCTGAGTGCTGAAACAGAGGGAGATCAGCATCTACCCAGACCTGAGTGCGACGCTGAAACAGAGAGAAGCATACCGAACTGAGCGCTATGACAGAGGGATTCAGCATACCAGACTGAGTGCTGAACTGCTGAAACAGAGGAGATCAGCATCTACCCAGACCTGAGTGCTGAAACAGAGGGAGATCAGCATCTACCCAGACCTGAGTGCTGAACTGCGAAACAGAGGGGAGATCAGCATCATACCAGACCTGAGGCTGAAACAGAGGGAGATCAGCATCTACCCAGACCTGAGTGCTGACAACAGAGGGAGATCAGCATCTACCCAGACCTGAGTGCTGAAACAGGAGGGAGATCAGCATCTACCCAGACCTGAGTGCTGAACTGCTGAAACAGAGGGAGATCAGCATCTACCCAGACCTGAGTGCTGAAACAGAGGGAGATCAGCATCTACCCAGACCTGAGTGCTGAACTGCTGAAACAGAGGGAGATCAGCATCTACCCAGACCTGAGTGCTGAACTGAAACAGAGGGAGATCAGCATCTACCCAGACCTGAGTGCTGAACTGCTGAAACAGAGGGAGATCAGCATCTACCCGACTGAGGCTGAAACAGGGATCAGATCCCCGACCTGAGTGCTGACTGCTGAAACAGAGGGAGATCAGCATCTACCCAGACTGAGTGCTGAAACAGAGGGAGATCAGCATCTACCCAGACCTGAGTGCTGAAACAGAGGGAGATCAGCATCTACCCAGACCTGAGTGCTGAACTGCTGAAACAGAGGGAGATCAGCATCTACCCAGACCTGAGTGCTGAACTGAAACAGAGGGAGATCAGCAATCTACCCAGACCTGAGTGCTGAAACAGAGGGAGAGTCAGCATCTACCAGACCTGAGTGCTGAAACAGAGGGAGATCAGATCACCCAGACCTGAGTGCTGAAACAGAGGGAGATCAGCATCTACCCAGACCTGAGTGCTGAACTGCTGAAACAGAGGGAGATCAGCATCTACCCAGACCTGAGTGCTTGAAAACAGAGGGAGATCAGCATCTACCCAGACCTGAGTGCTGAAACAGAGGGAGATCAGCATCTACCCAGACCTGAGTGCTGAAACAGAGGGAGATCAGCATCTACCCAGACCTGAGTGCTGAACTGCTGAAACAGAGGGAGATCAGCATCTACCCAGACCTGAGTGCTGAAACAGAGGGAGATCAGCATCTACCCAGACCTGAGTGCTGAAACAGAGGGAGATCAGCATCTACCCAGACCTGGATGCTGAAACAGAGGGAGATCAGCATCTACCCAGACCTGAGTGCTGAATGCTGAAACAGAGGGAGATCAGCATCTACCCAGACTGAGTGCTGAAAACAGAGGGAGATCAGCATTACCCAGACCTGAGTGTGAACTGAACAGAGGGAGATCAGCATCTACCAGACCTGAGCTGCTGTTGAGAAACAGAGGGAGATCAGCATCTACCCAGACCTGAGTGCTGAACTGCTGAAACAGAGGGAGATCAGCATCTACCCAGACCTGAGTGCTGAACTGGAAACAGAGGGAGATCAGCATCTACCCAGACCTGAGTGCTGAACTGCTGAAACAGAGGGAGATCAGATCTATCCAGACCTGAGTGCTGAAACAGAGGGAGATCAGCATCTACCCAGACCTGAGTGCTGAAACAGAGGGAGATCAGCATCTACCCAGACCTGAGTGCTGAAACAGGGAGGGAGATCAGCATCTACCCAGACCTGAGTGCTGAAAACAGAGGGAGATCAGCATCTACCCAGACCTGAGTGTCTGAAACAGAGGAGATCAGCATCTACCCAGACCTGAGTGCTGTGAAACAGAGGGAGATCAGCATCTACCCAGACCTGAGTGCTGAACTGTATGAAACAGAGGGGGGATCAGCATCTACCCAGACCTGAGTGCTGAAACAGAGGGAGATCAGCATCTACCCAGGACCTGAGTGCTGAATGTGAAACAGAGGGAGATCAGCATCTACCCAGACCTGAGTGCTGAAACAGAGGGAGATCAGCATCTACCCAGACCTGAGTGCTGAACTGCTGAAACAGAGGGAGATCAGATCTACAGACCTGAGTGCTGAAACAGAGGGAGATCAGCATCTACCCAGACCTGAGTGCTGAAACAGAGGGAGATAGCATCTACCCAGACCTGAGTGCTGAAACAGAGGGAGATCAGCATCTACCAGACCTGAGTGTGAACTCGAAACAGAGGGAGATCAGCATCTACCCAGACTGAGTGCTCTTGAAACAGAGGGAGATCAGCATCTACCCAGACCTGAGTGCTGAAACAGAGGGAGATCAGCATCTACCCAGACCTGAGTGCTGAAACAGAGGGAGATCAGCATCTACCCAGACCGAGTGCTGAAACAGGGGAGATCAGCATCTACCAGACCTGAGTGCTGAAACAGAGGGAGATCAGCATCTACCCAGCACCTGAGTGCTGCAACAGAGGGAGATCAGCATCTACCCAGACCTGAGTGCTGATAACAGAGGGAGATCAGCATCTACCCAGACCTGAGTGCTGAAACAGAGGGAGATCAGCATCTACCCAGACCTGAGTGCTGAAACAGAGGGAGATCAGTATCTACCCAGACCTGAGTGCTGAAACAGAGGGAGATCAGCATCTACCCAGACCTGAGTGCTGAAACAGAGGGAGATCAGCATCTACCCAGACCTGAGTGCTGAAAACAGCGGGGGATCAGCAATCTACACCAGACATGCAGTGCTGAACAGAGGAGATCAGCATCTACCCAGACTGAGTGCTGAAAACAGAGGGAGATCAGCATCTACCCAGACCTGAGTGCTGAAACTGCTGAAAACAGAGGGAGATCAGCATCTACCCAGACCTGAGTGCTGAAACAGAGGGAGATCAGCATCTACCCAGACCTGAGTGCTGAACTGCTGAAACAGAGGGAGATCAGCATCTACCCAGACCTGAGTGCTGAAACAGAGGGAGATCAGCATCTACCCAGACCTGAGTGCTGACTGTAAACAGAGGGAGATCAGCATCTAACCAGACCGAGTGCTTGAAAACAGAGGGAGATCAGCATCTACCCAGACCTGAGTGCTGAACTGATGAAACAGAGGGAGATCAGCATCTACCAGACCTGAGTGCTGAAACAGAGGGAGATCAGCATCTACCAGACCTGAGGTGAACTGCTGAAACAGAGGGAGATCAGATCTACCAGACCTGAGTGCTGAAACAGAGGGAGATCAGCATCTACCCAGACCTGAGTGCTGAAACAGAGGGAGATCAGCATCTACCCAGACCTGAGTGCTGAAACAGAGGGAGATCAGCAATATACCCAGACCTGAGTGCGAACAGGGGAGATCAGCATTCCAGCCCCACCGACCGTCGGCAAACAGAGGGATATCAGTATCTACCCAGACCTGAGTTGCTGAAACAGAGGGAGATCAGGCATCTACCCAGACCTGAGTGCGAAAACAGAGGGAGATCAGCAATCTACCCAGACCTGAGTGCTGAACTGCTGAAACAGAGGGAGATCAGCATCTACCCAAGCCTGAGTTGCTGAAACAGAGGGAGAGCTCAGCATCTACCCAGACCTGAGTGCTGAAACAGAGGCGAGGATCAGCATCTACCCAGACCTGAGTGCTGAAAACAGGGGAGATCAGCATCTACCCAGACCTGAGTGCATGAACAGAGGGGAGATCAGCATCCTACCCCGTACCTGAGTGCTGCAAACAGGGGAGATTCAGCATCTACCCAGACATGAGTGCTGAAGTGATGAAACAGAGGGAGATCAGCATCTACCCAGACCTTAGTGCCAACTGCTAAAACAGAGAGGCACATCAAACCCAACACACAAGGGGACAAGCTGACAGATGGAACCCCATGACTGGCTCAGTATTCAGGTACGCTATCCATGCACAGTCATGCAGCCTAGCCGATAGCTGTGCTGCAGCCCACAGCATAAGACAATGAAGAGGATACCTCTCATGTTTGGGTACAAGGTACATTATTACTACTATTGCTGAGCATTGAACTTGTTAGAATTATATTGGCTATGGTCCAGGGCATTTACACAGTGATGACACCATGCCAATTAATGAACAATGGACAATATATGGATCCTACATCGATCATATTTCTGACTGTTTAGGCATTAAGGCTGTCATCTCTGTCATCCCTGTCATACCTGTCTACCCTGTCATTCCTGTCATGCGCGGTAAGCAATAATAATATAGAGAATTGATATAGTGGTCCATAGTTACCACACCATATTATTCTCCAGATGACTAGGTTGCCATAGTTACCCGTGACAGGCGTGCCAGACCCAGGAGTGGCGTCCAGCCTTGGGCCTGAAGTCGGCCCGTCCGATGTTGTGGATCTGAGAGGAGAACCGCAGCAGACGGCGGTGTCCGTAGGGCCAGTTAGCGCTAGCGGCAGACTTAGACAGACAGTTCTCCTCCGCTGCACAGTACAACATGTGGAGGGGGCGGTCCTCGATGTACACCGACTGTTGGACCAGGGGAGCATTCAGGACCAGGTCAGATGCCGCTGAGAAGAGAGAGGAGGAGAGGAGACAAGGAAAAAGGAGGAGATAGGAGGAGGAGAGGAGAGGAGAGGAGAGGAGAGGAGAGGAGGGGAGGAGAGGAGAGGAGAGGAGAGGAGAGGAGAGGAGAGGAGAGGAGAGGAGAGGAGAGGAGAGGAGAGGAGAGGAGAGGAGGGGAGGAGAGGAGAGGAAAGGAGAGGGTAGTAACGGTCAAACCGTCAACATGTAGTTTCCATACCCAGCTCAGTTTTAGTGCTTTCTATGTTAGTTGATTACAATGTATTATAACAAACCAATACTTTATCTGTATCAATGTATTATAACAAACCAATACTTTATCTGTATCAATGTATTATAACAAACCAATACTTTATCTGTATCAATGTATTATAACAAACCAATACTTTATCTGTATCAATGTATTATAACAAACCAATACTTTATCTGTATCAATGTATAATAACAAACCAATACTTTATCTGTATCAATGTATTATAACAAACCAATACTTTATCTGTATCAATGTATTATAACAAACCAATACTTTATCTGTATCAATGTATTATAACAAACCAATACTTTATCTGTATCAATGTATTATAACAAACCAATACTTTATCTGTATCAATGTATTATAACAAACCAATACTTTATCTGTATCAATGTATTATAACAAACCAATACTTTATCTGTATCAGTGTATTATACCAAACCAATACTTTATCTGTATCAATGTATTATAACCAAACCAATACTTTATCTGTATCAGTGTATTATACCAAACCAATACTTTATCTGTATCAATGGTCTAACTCATACCGGTTGGAGATTCTGGTCACCCGCTCTAGAATCATACGGTTTATTAATGTTTATGATTATGTTACTGTGTTACTAATGTTTAAGACTGTGTCATGACACCAACTACCATTTTCTAAACAGTGTTACTCACTCTCTGAGCAGATGACTCCAGCAGAGAACTTAGCAGCAGTCTTCTGACAGCTGACGGTCCTGTGGTGCTGGCAGTGGCTCAGAGACATCTCGTTCCCTGTGCACTTCACTCCGCTCATCACCATCTCTGTCACATTACTACTGTCCCAGTACCACGTTTCCTTGGAGACAGGGTCAGGATAAACACAAACCCAGCCCAGACATTAGGAGGTTGTGATTTATAAAGTGCTTTTCCAGTATCTCAAAGAGCTCTACACTCTTCGGGAAAAAAAGAGTTCCAAAAGGGTTCTTCAGCTGTCCCCATGGGAGAACCATTCAAATGACCTTTTTTGGGTTCCAGGTAGAACCCTCTATGAAAAGGGCTGCAACCTGCAACCGAAATGGGTTCATCAATGGGAACAGCCAAAGAGCCTTTTTTATGTTCTAGATCAAGGATGGGCATCTTTCGTCCTCGGGGGTTGGGGGGGCCTGATTGGTGTCACACTTTACCCCCAGCTAACACACCTGACTTCAATAATCAACTAATTATGATCTTCATTTTAGAATGCAATTAGTTTAAATCAGCTGTGTTTTCTAGGGATGGGGGGGGGGGGGGAGTGTGAAACCCCTCTGGCTGTGAGGAGTTGCCCGTCCCTGGTCTAGATAACCTTTTTTTCTAGTGTACATGTGGAAACTCACCTCATCCTCATCCAACTCATCCACCACCAATGTGTAGCACCCACCTGAGTGATGCAACTCATTTGTGCCAGAATGCTCACCACACATCAGCTAGCATGTTGGAGAGGTGAGGAGTGACATACAGCATGTCAATTAGGTTAGCATTCATGCTCATTTTTATGGCAAATAAATGCATTTAAATTTGTGCATGATCAACGATTAATAAAACGATTGATTGAAATTGATTGCCCATCATCATTCTGCCTCTGACTAAAAGACACCTTACAACTATGTAGGACAATGATAAGGCAGTACGGTATAATACTTTAACTCAGAGAAATGACTTTCTTCTCTCTGCTTTAAAGAAAAGAGAAACCTGCACGGTGCTCTTGCTTGTAGCGTAGCTTAAATAAATAAAAAAAGTGATACGCGCAAAGAGCAGTGTGCCGGTTTCTCTTTACTTGGACGTTATTCCCGTCAACAAGATAACTCAGATGTGAGTGCTTAAAAAAAAAAAAAATGTATCTGTCAGGTAAGCCAACCACACATCCCTGTAAAATGATAAGGGAGGAGAATACTTTGACTAGTAGGAATGAGCCGTGGTATTGACTGTTTTCTCTCCCAGTGTTTACTCACAGTGATGGCATGCATGGAGTATCCCAAGCCTAGCTGTCTGCAGACTACCATGGCCTCTTTAGTGGTCCAGCCTGCAGAGCACACCGTGCCCCACCGCGCCCCCACCTGAACCTCCACACGGCCCTCATAGTACGTCCTGCCTCCCACGATACGCACCTGCAGAGGGGGGGGGGCCCTAGGGGATGTCAGTGAGAGGGCACTTCCTGTGCATTTCCACTGGGGGTTTACGTCTCAGACTTATCCCCTGGGAGACGTCAATCAGATGGCACCTCATGTCCTGTCTGTAGCCTGTCTGTAGTCTGTCTGTGCTTCCCCCAACAGTACACATTTTTATTGTAACCCCGGACAAGCACACCGGATTCAAATTTTCAGCAGCTGTGGGGTTAGTCCATAGACTCATAGAACAACATGTCAGTCCTGAGGGCCAGTGGATTGCTGATGCAGCAGCAGCTGTGGGGTTAGTCCATAGACTCATAGAACAACATGTCAGAATGAACATGTCAGGGTGAGTCATGGAGCGGGGAGCCACATTGGTTCCTTCCTGGTGGGTTGGGAGAACCAATGAGGTGTCGCCACCGGGCATGTTATGGTTGGCTGTTGGCTTATCCCCCCCCCCCAGCAATGGGGTGGGGTGGTGGGGTTGGTCTAAACTAGGGCTGTGGTGGTCACGACATTTCGTCAGCCGGTGACTGTCAAGCAAATAACTGCCGGTCTCACGGTAATTTACCGTTAATTAACATAAAAGAGGGTATCTCTCCAGGAACAGGGTTGGAGTTAAAACCTACAGGAGGGTAGCTCTCCGGGAACAGGGTTGGAGTTAAAACCTACAGGAGGGTAGCTCTCCAGGAACAGGGTTGGAGTTAAAACCTACAGGAGGGTATCTCTCCATGAACAGGGTTGGAGTTAAAACCTACAGGAGGGTAGCTCTCCAGGAACAGGGTTGGGCAGTCCTGGTCTACACCTTCACAATAAATCCATTATTTATTTTAGACAGGTCTAAAGAATAGAATTGAACAAAGATAAATAAAATAAAGGATATTTTCTCCAAACAATTTGAGGGAGTGCGCCCATGCGGCTATTCTGTGTTGAGCGTTTAACAAAGAAACAGGTCCTCCTATATGCTTAATTTAGAGTTATTTATGTAACTTTAGATGTGATACAAATGTTGGGCTATATGTTTTGATTTTTAATACATTGTAAGGCTGCATGATGCGACCTAATGATGATTTGAAAAAAATCTCATGAAAGGCATGAGCTCTGCTTTGTTTTTTTTGCGCAGGATGTACATACTTCATCAGTCTCTCATTCACAATTTGACAAGCACTTGATAATGCCTCGAATTTCCCGGCTGCATCCCCTTTGTGTGGCCATAATGCACCCTAAAAAATCCATGCCCTTTGCGGCCAGAGAAATAAATATTCCAAACACACATGTTTTTTTACGCAATGATCCTGATGCAACAGATCAGAACGTTTAGCTTAAAATGTTGATAAACTATTAGTCTGTTTCTTCACATTATAAGCGCAGCAATGTGCACACGGCAGTAGGCTATAAGCGTGAATGTTCCATTAGCGGGAAAACACCATTATCAAAAGTGACCGCAAATGCGATTTATGCATGTAATGCTTATATTATAAAGGTGCATTTTTATGGTGAAAATTATCTTCCCCAAACTTGAAACTCACGCGCTGCTTATGTATGCCAGTTAGGCTCTACACCACGTTGTAAAGCAGCCAGGTAGGCTAGGTTATTTTACAAATACATGTCATCTACGCACTTAAATAGCGAATGGAGGACGCTTCTCCCGTGGTTCATTTTCATGCCAGCCAGGTAGGCTATACTCCTGTTGTAAAGATAAACAATGTGCTTAATATTAGGAAAGTTGAGAAATAAATATAGTAGGCCTAGCCTATAGAAAGCTGATGAGATCCTCCTCTTTTTAGTAGAGGCCATCACTCTGTTTTCTCACGCCATTGCGGAGCCTATAGAAATGTTGCCCAACATGAGCTCATGGTCTCTCATGAAGTGTTTGATTAGATTTCCGATTACATTTGAATTGACGTCAGAGTGATTTAGAGGGACAATAGAGTTCTGAGTACCAGGCAGTTAGCAAGTTTGGTAGGCTACTAATGACCAGCAGCAGCATCAGAGCTTGGAGAAGCCTAGTTACCGTGACTAAACGGTCATGTGGAATTTGACTGCAGTCATGACTCGTGACCGCCGGTGTGGCGGTAATACGGTCACTGTAACGGCCCTAGTCTAAACCAAAACAATTTCGCCAGAATTTCTGGGGACCCAATGTCTTTCACGAGAAAATACCCACCCCACCCCAAATATAATGATGACACAACCTTAAAATCGTTAAATTTAGATTTTCACATCAACAATAACCTTCAATTAATTACATTTTCATCTCTCCTATCAAAATTAAGAGAACAAATACATCCATTTGCTCAATGAAATTGTATTTTCAAATGATCTTTCTCAATATGGAATGGAGTTTGTGTATATTGTCGCATAAAATAATCTGTACTCTTCATTTTTGGTTTTAAAATTTGGCGACCCCACTGCAATTACAGCGCGACCCAAACTTTGAATACCACTGGTCTAATGGTTAAGACGGTGGGTTCCCTTTGGTCCGCGGAACATATCCGACTCGTCACATTATCATGATTGGTGGAGGGGATTCATGTATTATCATGATTGGTGGAGGGGATTCATGTATTATCATGACTGGTTGAGGGGATTCATGGACATGTATTCCATAGTTGCCACGGTTAGTGAGGTTGGAGATTCATGGTACTTGTAGTCCATGGTTATAACCTGGTTTAAGCATATTATATTAGCGGTGGGAAAAGCCGTTAGCTTGCCTAATAGACCTACTTGCAGGCCGTTGTTAGCGTAGCCTAGCCCCAGCTGTCTGCAGACCACCATGGCCTCCTTGGTGCCCCAGGCCCCTCCACAGATCAGCCCCCAGCTCCTGGTCCCGTTAGCCTCCGTACTCAGCACCTCCACCCGCCCCTCATAACGCGTACGGCCACCTGTCAGGCGGATCTGTGGGGGGCAGACGGGTTAGGAAGCGGAGGGCGGGGGGAGGGGGGAGGAGGAGGATGTACGAGTAGGAGCGCGGAGATTGGGGAAGTATGGTCTGGCTGAATACATGCTGTTTAGCCAGACTCTTAAAAAAAAGGGTTATTCGGCTGTCCCCATAGGAGAACCCTTTTGGGTTCCAGGTAGAACCCTTTTGGGATCCAGGTAGATTGAACACAAAAAGGTTATACTTGGAACCAAAAGGGTTCTCCAAGGAACCCAAAAGGGTTCTCCAAAGGTTCTAGATACAGTGCATTCGGAAAGTATTCAGACCCCTTGAATATTTCCACATTTTGTTACGTTACAGCCTTATTCTAAAATTGATTAAATAGTTTTTTTCCCTCATCAATCTACACACAATACCCCATAATGACAAAGCAAAAACAAGGTTTGTAGAATTTTTTGGAAATGTATCTAATGAAAAAAATCCTGAAATATCACATTTACATAAGTATTAAGACTCTTTACTCAGTACTTTGTTGAAGCACCTTTGGCAGCGATTACAGCCTCGAGTCTTCTTGGGTATGACGCTACAAGCTTGGCACATCTGTATTTGGGGAGTTTCTCCCATTCTTCTCTGCAGATCCACTCAAGCTCTGTCAGGTTGGATTGGGAGTGTCGCTGCACAGCTATTTTCAGGATCAAGTCCGGGCTCTGGCTGGGCCACTCAATGCTGCCACCACCATGCTTCACCGTAGGGATGGTGCCAGGTTTCCTTCAGACGTGACGCTTGGCATTCAGGCCAAAGAGTTCAATCTTGGTTTCATCAGACCAGAGAATCTTGTTTCTCATGGTCTGAGAGTCCTTTAGGTGCCTTTTGGCAAACTCCAAGCGGGCTGTCATGTGCCTTTTACTGAGGAGTGGTGTCCGTCTGGTCACTCTACCATAAAGGCCTGATTGGTGGAGTGCTGCAGAGATGGTTGTCCTTCTGGAAGGTTCTCCCATCTCCACAGAGGAATTCTGGAGCTCTGTCAGAGTGCCTTCTCCCCCAATTGCTCAGTTTGGCCGGGCGGCCAGCTCTAGGAGTTGATGGAGGCCACTGTGTTCTTGGGAACTTCAATGCTGCAGATATTTTGTGGTACCCTTCCCCAGATCTGTGCCTCGACACAATCCTGTCTTGGAGCTCTACGGACAATTTCTTCGACCTCGTGGCTTGGTTTTTGCTCTGACATGCACTGTCAACTGTGGGACCTTGTATAAACAGGTGTGTGCCTTTCCAAATCATGTCCAATCATTTGAATTTACCCCAGGTTGACTCCAATCAAGTTATAGAAACATCTCAAGGATGATCAATGGAAACAGGATGAACCTGAGCTCAATTTCGAGTCGCATAGCAAGGGGTCTGAATACTTATGTAAAAGTTCAAGGGGTCTGAATACTTATGTAAAAGGTCAAGGGGGCTGAATACTTATGTAAAAAGTCAAGGGGTCTGAATACTTATGTAAAAGTTCAAGGGGTCTGAATACTTATGTAAAAGGTCAAGGGGGCTGAATACTTATGTAAAAAGTCAAGGCGTCTGAATACTTATGTAAAAGGTCAAGGGGGCTGAATACTTATGTAAAAAGTCAAGGGGGCTGAATACTTATGTAAAAAGTCAAGGGGTCTGAATACTTTCCGAATGCACTCTAGCACCTTGTTTTCTAAGAGTGTAGACATCTCAGATGCCACCCTACTGCCTATATATTGCAGTACTTTTATAGGGAATAGGGAATAGGGAATAGGGAATAGGGAATAGGGCTCCATGCTTTAGGTTAGGGGTTTCTGAAGCTCTTTGTTGTGCATGTATTGTTATGTATTGTTAAAGGCATGTATTGTTAAAGGCATGTATTGTTATGTATTGTTAAAGGCATGTATTGTCATGTATTGTTAAAGGCATGTATTGTCATGTATTGTTAAAGGCATGTATTGTTAAAGGCATGTATTGTTAAAGGCATGTATTGTCATGTATTGTTAAAGGCATGTATTGTTAAAGGCATGTATTGTTATGTATTGTTAAAGGCATGTATTGTCATGTATTGTTAAAGGCATCTATTGTTAAAGGCATGTATTGTTATGTATTGTTAAAGGCATGTATTGTCATGTATTGTTAAAGGCATGTATTGTTATGTATTGTTAAAGGCATGTATTGTCATGTATTGTTAATGGCATGTATTGTTAAAGGCATGTATTGTCATGGATTGTTAAAGGCATGTATTGTTAAAGGCATGTATTGTCATGTATTGTTAAAGGCATGTATTGTCATGTATTGTTAAAGGCATGTATTGTTAAAGGCATGTATTGTCATGTATTGTTAAAGGCATGTATTGTTATGTATTGTTAAAGGCATGTATTGTTATGTATTGTTAAAGGCATGTATTGTTAAAGGCATGTATTGTTAAAGGCATGTATTGTCATGTATTGTTAAAGGCATGTATTGTTAAAGGCATGTATTGTCATGTATTGTTAAAGGCATGTATTGTTAAAGGCATGTATTGTTATGTATTGTTAAAGGCATGTATTGTCATGCATTGTTAAAGGCATGTATTGTTATGTATTGTTAAAGGCATGTATTGTTAAAGGCATGTATTGTTATGTATTGTTATGTATTGTTATGTATTGTTATGTATTGTCATGTATTGTTAAAGGCATGTATTGTTAAAGGCATGTATTGTTATGTATTGTTAAAGGCATGTATTGGCATGTATTGTTAAAGGCATGTATTGTTAAAGGCATGTATTGTTAAAGGCATGTATTGTTATGTATTGTTAAAGGCATGTATTGTTAAAGGCATGTATTGTTATGTATTGTTATGTATTGTTATGTATTGTTATGTATTGTTATGTATTGTTAAAGGCATGTGTTTGATGAGTGTAAAGGACGTCATTCCACACATCACTTATTCAGGATGCATCCAGGTTAATGTCTCTCATCACAATACTACTAACATTGTATTGAACATTATTGCAGCAAACATTTCTGCCTGATGAGGAATCTATTACCTCTTGTCAACACATCGCTGATCAATAAACAGTTTAAAATTCTCAGTAAATATAACCCCCCCACTCCATTTGCTTAACTAACTTACTTTTTTCAACTTTTACTTAGGCCTAGATTCAATCCGTAGTGCTGAAGATCCGCAGTATAGCACGATTTAAATTGAAAATTAAATGTTTCCGCGTTCGCGGTTAACACTGAATGTATATGTCAATCAGAAGTTTCAATCGAGCGGATGTTCAGCACTACGAATACAGGTGCAACATGCTCTCAGTAAAACAGGATATAACACTAACTGGCCTTCTAGGAAGATTTGAAGTTCATTAAACAGAATGGAATGGAATGGAATTTAATTTAAATTGAGTAGTTAGTCTCTGACCGAGTTCTCCAGAGCCATGTAGGGCGTGTTGCACCTCACAGCGGCGTCTTCTACATGCTGGCAGTCCTCTGAGGTTATGTTCTTAAAGACACAGTTCCACATCGACTTCTCCGTCCCCAGACACTGGACCTCATTCATGTGAATAGGACCCATCCCTACACACAGACACACACAGACACACACAGACACACACACACACACACAGACACACACACACAAAGACACTGCTGTAATATACATTATGTGTCAAGATGTGTCTTGTAGAAACCTTTAAATGAATCAAAAAACATCAAGAGGCATCAAAAGTAACATTTTAGAAGACAGTAGTACTCATAGGAAATCCCAGGACATGGTGTCTATAATACTGTAAGGGGTTCTTCTACATAGAAGACCATAGGAAATCCCAGGACATAGTGTCTATAATACTGTAAGGGGTTCTTCTACATAGAAGACCATAGGGAATCCCAGGACAGGGTGTCTATAATACTGTAAGGGGTTCTTCTACATAGAAGACCATAGGGAATCCCAGGACAGGGTGTCTATAATACTGTAAGGGGTTCTTCTACATAGAAGACCATAGGAAATCCCAGGACAGGGTGTCTATAATACTGTAAGGGGTTCTTCTACATAGAAGACCATAGGAAATCCCAGGACAGGGTGTCTATAATACTGTAAGGGGTTCTTCTACATAGAAGACCATAGGGAATCCCAGGACAGGGTGTCTATAATACTGTAAGGGGTTCTTCTACATAGAAGACCATAGGAAATCCAAGGACAGGGTGTCTATAATACTGTAAGGGGTTCTTCTACATAGAAGACCATAGGAAATCCCAGGACAGGGTGTCTATAATACTGTAAGGGGTTCTTCTACATAGAAGACCATAGGAAATCCCAGGACAGGGTGTCTATAATACTGTAAGGGGTTCTTCTACATAGAAGACCATAGGAAATCCCAGGACAGGGTGTCTATAATACTGTAAGGAGTTCTTCTACATAGAAGACCATAGGAAATCCCAGGACAGGGTGTCTATAATACTGTAAGGGGTTCTTCTACATAGAAGACCATAGGAAATCCCAGGACAGGGTGTCTATAATACTGTAAGGAGTTCTTCTACATAGAAGACCATAGGAAATCCCAGGACAGGTGTCTATAATACTGTAAGGGGTTCTTCTAAATAGAAGACCATAGGAAATCCCAGGACATGGTGTCTATAATACTGTAAGGGGTTCTTCTACATAGAAGACCATAGGAAATCCCAGGACATGGTGTCTATAATACTGTAAGGGGTTCTTCTACATAGAAGACCATAGGGAATCCCAGGACAGGGTTGTCTATAATACTGTAAGGGGTTCTTCTACATAGAAGACCATAGGAAATCCCAGGACATGGTGTCTATAATACTGTAAGGGGTTCTTCTACATAGAAGACCATAGGGAATCCCAGGACAGGGTGTCTATAATACTGTAAGGGGTTCTTCTACATAGAAGACCATAGGAAATCCCAGGACAGGGTGTCTATAATACTGTAAGGGGTTCTTCTACATAGAAGACCATAGGAAATCCCAGGACAGGGTGTCTATAATACTGTAAGGGGTTCTTCTACATAGAAGATCATAGGAAATCCCAGGACATAGTGTCTATAATACTGTAAGGGGTTCTTCTACATAGAAGACCATAGGAAATCCCAGGACAGGGTGTCTATAATACTGTAAGGGGTTCTTCTACATAGAAGACCACAGGAAATCCCAGGACAGGGTGTCTATAATACTGTAAGGGGTTCTTCTACATAGAAGACCATAGGAAATCCCAGGACAGGGTGTCTATAATACTGTAAGGGGTTCTTCTACATAGAAGACCATAGGAAATCCCAGGACAGGGTCTCTATAATACTGTAAGGGGTTCTTCTACATAGAAGATCATAGGAAATCCCAGGACATAGTGTCTATAATACTGTAAGGGGTTCTTCTACATAGAAGACCATAGGAATCCCAGGACAGGGTGTCTATAATACTGTAAGGGGTTCTTCTACATAGAAGATCATAGGAAATCCCAGGACATAGTGTCTATAATACTGTAAGGGGTTCTTCTACATAGAAGACCATAGGAAATCCCAGGACAGGGTGTCTATAATACTGTAAGGGGTTCTTCTACATAGAAGATCATAGGAAATCCCAGGACATAGTGTCTATAATAATGTAAGGGGTTCTTCTACATAGAAGACCATAGGAAATCCCAGGACAGGGTGTCTATAATACTGTAAGGGGTTCTTCTACATAGAAGATCATAGGAAATCCCAGGACATAGTGTCTATAATACTGTAAGGGGTTCTTCTACATAGAAGATCATATGAAATCCCAGGACAGGGTGTCTATAATACTGTAAGGGGTTCTTCTACATAGAAGACCATAGGAAATCCCAGGACATGGTGTCTATAATACTGTAAGGGGTTCTTCTACATAGAAGACCATAGGAAATCCCAGGACATGGTGTCTATAATACTGTAAGGGGTTCTTCTACATAGAAGACCATAGGAAATCCCAGGACAGGGTGTCTATAATACTGTAAGGGGTTCTTCTACATAGAAGATCATAGGAAATCCCAGGACAGGGTGTCTATAATACTGTAAGGGGTTCTTCTACATAGAAGACCATAGGAAATCCCAGGACAGGGTGTCTATAATACTGTAAGGGGTTCTTCTACATAGAAGATCATAGGAAATCCCAGGACATAGTGTCTATAATACTGTAAGGGGTTCTTCTACATAGAAGACCATAGGAAATCCCAGGACAGGGTGTCTATAATACTGTAAGGGGTTATTCTACATAGAAGACCATAGGAAATCCCAGGACAGGGTGTCTATAATACTGTAAGGGGTTCTTCTACATAGAAGACCATAGGAAATCCCAGGACAGGGTGTCTATAATACTGTAAGGGGTTCTTCTACATAGAAGACCATAGGAAATCCCAGGACAGGGTGTCTATAATACTGTAAGGGGTTCTTCTACATAGAAGATCATAGGAAATCCCAGGACATAGTGTCTATAATACTGTAAGGGGTTCTTCTACATAGAAGACCATAGGAAATCCCAGGACATGGTGTCTATAATACTGTAATAAGCTCACATAGTTTCTGTCACAAACTCCAAACTCCACACAGTTGTCACTGACTAGTTGGATATTCATTTCCTACTGAGCAAACCATTTCTGCACTAACAGCATTCATAAAAATACATTTTTATCCGGTTTTTTGCTTAAAAAAAAAATGTATTTACAGTTGTCTATAAAACTCATTAATGTCAAATTGTTTTGTGTTCTTCTTGTAGTCCTGGTTGTCCTGAAAAGAACATGGTAAAACAATTCATTATGAGGCTAAATATAAGGGCAGGACATAATAGTCAGTTATGATGAAAAGCAGATTTGTGCTGGACACAGCTTGCTTTGTGGGAAGCAGTCTGGGAAGACTGTGGTTTACTGGAGTTGCTTTGTTCTTAGGGAAACCACGACAAAGACTTGAATTAATTTTTGGGACAAATCATTACTGAAAGGGCATTTCTCTCCAACCTCTTTAAAATAAATAGATAAAATAGATAAATGAAATGTCTCATCATGGTCCTTGTGTGTAATACCATTGATACATACAGTGCATTCGGAAAGTATTCAGACCCCTTGACTTTTCCTACTTTTTGTTACGTTACAGCCTTATTTTAAAATGGATTAAATCGTTTTTTCCCCTCAACGATATACACACACAATACCTCATAATGACAAAGCAAAAATAGGTTTTTATAAATAAAAAAACCCGGAAATATCACATTTACATAAGTATTCAGACCCTTTACTCAGTACTTTGTTGAAGCACCTTTGGCAGCGATTACAGCCTCAAGTCTTCTTGGGTATGACGCTACAAGTTTGGCACACCAGTATTTGGGGAGTTTCTCCCATTCTTCTCTGCAGATCCTCTCAAGCACTGTCAGGTTGGATGGGAAGCATCGCTGCACAACTATTTTCACGTCTCTCCGGAGATGTTAGATCGGGTTCAAGTCCAGGCTCTGGCTGGGCCACACAAGGACATTCAGAGACTTGTCCCAAAGCCACTCCTGCATTGTCTTTGCTGTGTGCTTAGGGTCGTTGTCCTGTTGGAAGGTGAACCTTCGCCCCAGTCTGAGGTCCTGAGCGCTCTGGAGCAGGTTTTCATCAAGGATCTCTCTGTACTTTGCTCTGTTCATCTTTCCCTCGATCCTGACTAGTCTTCAAGTCCCTGCCACTGAAAAACATCCCCACAGCATGATGCTGCCACCACCATGCTTCACCATAGGGATGGTGCCAGGTTTCCTCCAGACGTGAAGCTTGGCATTTAGGCCAAAGAGTTCAATCTTGGTTTCATCAGACCAGAGAATCTTGTTTCTCATGGTCTGAGAGTCTTTAGGTGCCTTTTGGTAAACTCCAAGCGGGCTGTCATATGCCTTTTACCGAGGACTGGCTTCTCTACCATAAAGGCCTGATTGGTGGAGTGCTGCAGAGATGGTTGTCCTTCTGGAAGGTTCTCCCATCTCCACAGAGGAACTCTGGAGCTTTGTCAGAGTGACCATTGGGTTCTTGGTCACCTCCCAACTTCTTCCATTTAAGAATGATGGAGGCCACTGTGTTCTTGGGGACCTTCAATGCTGCAGAAGTCTTTTGGTACCCTTCCCCAGATCTGTGCTTTGACACAATCCTGTCTCGGAGCTCTACGGACAATTCCTTCGACCTCATGGCTTTGGTTTTTGCTCTGACATGCACTGTCAACTGTGGGACCTTACATAAACAGGTGTGTGCCTTTCCAAATCATGTCTAATCAATTGAATATACTGTATATATCATATCATCTTTTGGGTGTTTTAACACTTTATAGAGACAGGTTGGAAATCAAAGGGAGAGACAGGCAATTGGAAGAGAAACAGTGGGAAGTGGACAAAGGGATTGAACCCTGGTCTCCAGTTGGGAGTCGTATATGTGACTGTTCCGGGAGTGTAACCACTACACCAAATATTTTTTATTTCTTTTTAATTGTTTTTTTTAGTCATTTAGCAGACGCTCTTATCCAGAGCGACTTACATGTATCTTTTTTAAAATCTTTTTTTATACTGGCCCCCCGTGGGAATCGAACCCACAACCCTGGCGTTGCAAACGCCATGCTCTACCAACTGAGCTACATCCCTGCTGGCCATTCCCTCCCCTACCCTGGACGACGCTGGGCCAATTGTGCGCCGCCCCATGGGTCTCCCGGTCGCGGCCGGCTATGACTGGATTCGAACCAGGATCTCTAGTGGCACAGCTAGCACTGCGATGCAGTGCCTTAGACAACAGCTAGACCACTGCGCCACTCGCCATTGACCTATATAAGGTTAAACCACAGTTCTCAGTCCTCACCTTGTCCCATGCGAGCCCCAGTCAGGGCCTCCTTGGCGGATCCGAAGCCCAGCTCCCTGCACACTACGCTGGCTGACAGCAGGGTCCAACGGTCGTCACACACCGTACCCCACTCATTGTTCCTCAGCACCTCCACTCTGCCCTCACCCAGCTTGGCACCACCCTTCAGCCTCACCATGCTCTGATGGAAGAGGACAGCAAGGGACACAGTTAACTGACACAGATACACAGAGAAGAGGAGACAGGAGATGACAGTTAACTGACACAGATACACAGAGAAGAGGAGACAGGAGATGACAGTTAACTGACACAGATACACAGAGAAGAGGAGACAGGAGATGACAGTTAACTGACACAGATACACAGAGAAGAGGAGACAGGAGATGACAGTTAACTGACACAGATACACAGAGAAGAGGAGACAGGAGATGACAGTTAACTGACACAGATACACAGAGAAGAGGAGACAGGAGATTACAGTTAACTGACACAGATACACAGAGAAGAGGAGACAGGAGATGACAGTTAACTGACACAGATACACAGAGAAGAGGAGAGAGGAGATGACAGTTAACTGACACAGATACACAGAGAAGAGGAGACAGGAGATGACAGTTAACTGACACATATACACAGAGAAGAGGAGAGAGGAGATGACAGTTAACTGACACAGATACACAGAGAAGAGGATACAGGAGATGACAGTTAACTGACACAGATACACAGAGAAGTGGAGAAAGGAGATGACAGTTAACTCACTGTGCTCTACAGACAGGAGACAGTTAACTCACTGTGTTCTACAGACAGGAGACAGTTAACTCACTGTGTTCTACAGACAGGAGACAGTTAACTCACTGTGTTCTATAGACAGGAGACAGTTAACTCACTGTGCTCTACAGACAGGAGACAGTTAACTCACTGTGTTCTACAGACAGGAGTAAGTTAACTGACACAGATACACAGAGAAGAGGAGAGAGGAGATGACAGTTAACTCACTGTGTTCTACAGACAGGAGATGACAGTTAACTGACACAGATACACAGAGAAGAGGAGAGAGGAGATGACAGTTAACTCACTGTGCTCTACAGACAGGAGACAGTTAACTCACTGTGCTCTACAGACAGGAGACAGTTAACTCACTGTGTTCTACAGACAGGATACAGTTAACTCACTGTGTTCTATAGACAGGAGACAGTTAACTCACTGTGCTCTACAGACAGGAGACAGTTAACTCACTGTGCTCTACAGACAGGAGACAGTTAACTCACTGTGCTCTACAGACAGGAGACAGTTAACTCACTGTGTTCTACAGACAGGAGACAGTTAACTCACTGTGTTCTATAGACAGGAGTCAGTTAACTCACTGTGCTCTACAGACAGGAGCCAGTTAACTCACTGTGCTCTACAGACAGGAGACAGTTAACTCACTGTGTTCTACAGACAGGAGACAGTTAACTGACACAGATACACAGAGAAGAGGAGATGACAGTTAACTCACTGTGTTCTACAGACAGGAGACAGTTAACTCACTGTGCTCTACAGACAGGAGACAGTTAACTCACTGTGCTCTACAGACAGGAGACAGTTAACTCACTGTGCTCTACAGACAGGAGACAGTTAACTCACTGTGCTCTACAGACAGGAGACAGTTAACTCACTGTGTTCTACAGACAGGAGACAGTTAACTCACTGTGTTCTATAGACAGGAGTCAGTTAACTCATTGTGCTCTACAGACAGGAGACAGTTAACTCACTGTGCTCTACAGACAGGAGACAGTTAACTCACTGTGCTCTACAGACAGGAGACAGTTAACTCACTGTGTTCTACAGACAGGAGACAGTTAACTCACTGTGCTCTACAGACAGGAGACAGTTAACTCACTGTGTTCTACAGACAGGAGACAGTTAACTCACTGTGTTCTATAGACAGGAGACAGTTAACTCATTGTGCTCTACAGACAGGAGACAGTTAACTCACTGTGCTCTACAGACAGGAGACAGTTAACTCACTGTGCTCTACAGACAGGATACAGTTAACTCACTGTGTTCTATAGACAGGAGACAGTTAACTCACAGTGCTCTAGAGACAGGAGAGAGTTAACTCACTGTGTTCTACAGACAGGAGACAGTTAACTCACTGTGTTCTACAGACAGGAGACAGTTAACTCACTGTGTTCTACAGACAGGAGACAGTTAACTCACTGTGTTCTACAGACAGGAGACAGTTAACTCACTGTGTTCTACAGACAGGAGACAGTTAAATCACTGTGCTCTACAGACAGGAGACAGTTAACTCACTGTGCTCTACAGACAGGAGACAGTTAACTCACTGTGTTCTACAGACAGGAGACAGTTAACTCACTGTGTTCTACAGACAGGAGACAGTTAACTCACTGTGTTCTACAGACAGGAGACAGTTTAACTCACTGTGTTCTACAGACAGGAGACAGTTAACTCACTGTGCTCTACAGACAGGAGACAGTTAACTCACTGTGCTCTACTCAGGGACAAGTTAACTCACTGTGTTCTACAGACAGGAGACAGTTAACTCACTGTGCTCTACAGACAGGAGACAGTTAACTCACTGTGCTCTACAGACAGGAGACAGTTAACTCACTGTGTTCTACAGACAGGAGACAGTTAACTCACTGTGTTCTACAGACAGGAGACAGTTAACTCACTGTGTTCTACAGACAGGAGACAGTTAACTCACTGTGCTCTACAGACAGGAGCCAGTTAACTCACTGTGCTCTACAGACAGGAGACAGTTAACTCACTGTGCTCTACAGACAGGAGACAGTTAACTCACTGTGTTCTATAGACAGGAGACAGTTAACTCACAGTGCTCTACAGACAGGAGACAGTTAACTCACTGTGCTCTACAGACAGGAGACAGTTAACTCACTGTGCTCTACAGACAGGAGACAGTTAACTCACTGTGCTCTACAGACAGGAGACAGTTAACTCACTGTGCTCTACAGACAGGAGACAGTTAACTCACTGTGTTCTACAGACAGGAGACAGTTAACTCACTGTGTTCTACAGACAGGAGACAGTTAACTCACTGTGTTCTACAGACAGGAGACAGTTAACTCACTGTGTTCTACAGACAGGAGACAGTTAACTCACTGTGTTCTACAGACAGGAGACAGTTAACTCACTGTGCTCTACAGACAGGAGACAGTTAACTCACTGTGCTCTACAGACAGGAGACAGTTAACTCACAGTGTTCTACAGACAGGAGACAGTTAACTCACTGTGTTCTACAGACAGGAGACAGTTAACTCACTGTGTTCTACAGACAGGAGACAGTTAACTCACTGTGTTCTACAGACAGGAAACAGTTAACTCACTGTGTTCTACAGACAGGAGACAGTTAACTCACTGTGCTCTACAGACAGGAGACAGTTAACTCACTGTGTTCTACAGACAGGAGACAGTTAACTCACTGTGCTCTACAGACAGGAGACAGTTAACTCACTGTGTTCTACAGACAGGAGACAGTTAACTCACTGTGTTCTACAGACAGGAGACAGTTAACTCACTGTGTTCTACAGACAGGAGACAGTTAACTCACTGTGTTCTACAGACAGGAGAAGGTTAACTCACTGTGCTCTACAGACAGGAGCCAGTTAACTCACTGTGCTCTACAGACAGGAGACAGTTAACTCACTGTGTTCTACAGACAGGAGACAGTTAACTCACTGTGTTCTACAGACAGGAGACAGTTAACTCACTGTGTTCTACAGACAGGAGACAGTTAACTCACTGTGTTCTACAGACAGGAGACAGTTAACTCACTGTGTTCTACAGACAGGAGACAGTTAACTCACTGTGCTCTACAGACAGGAGACAGTTAACTCACTGTGCTCTACAGACAGGAGACAGTTAACTCACTGTGTTCTACAGACAGGAGACAGTTAACTCACTGTGTTCTACAGACAGGAGACAGTTAACTCACTGTGTTCTACAGACAGGAGACAGTTAACTCACTGTGTTCTACAGACAGGAGACAGTTAACTCACTGTGTTCTACAGACAGGAGACAGTTAACTCACTGTGCTCTACAGACAGGAGACAGTTAACTCACTGTGTTCTACAGACAGGAGACAGTTAACTCACTGTGTTCTACAGACAGGAGACAGTTAACTCACTGTGCTCTACAGACAGGAGACAGTTAACTCACTGTGCTCTACAGACAGGAGACAGTTAACTCACTGTGTTCTACAGACAGGAGACAGTTAACTCACTGTGTTCTACAGACAGGAGACAGTTAACTCACTGTGTTCTACAGACAGGAGACAGTTAACTCACTGTGCTCTACAGACAGGAGCCAGTTAACTCACTGTGCTCTACAGACAGGAGACAGTTAACTCACTGTGCTCTACAGACAGGAGACAGTTAACTCACTGTGTTCTATAGACAGGAGACAGTTAACTCACAGTGCTCTACAGACAGGAGACAGTTAACTCACAGTGCTCTACAGACAGGAGACAGTTAACTCACTGTGCTCTACAGACAGGAGACAGTTAACTCACTGTGCTCTACAGACAGGAGACAGTTAACTCACTGTGCTCTACAGACAGGAGACAGTTAACTCACTGTGTTCTACAGACAGGAGACAGTTAACTCACTGTGTTCTACAGACAGGAGACAGTTAACTCACTGTGTTCTACAGACAGGAGACAGTTAACTCACTGTGTTCTACAGACAGGAGACAGTTAACTCACTGTGTTCTACAGACAGGAGACAGTTAACTCACTGTGCTCTACAGACAGGAGACAGTTAACTCACTGTGCTCTACAGACAGGAGACAGTTAACTCACAGTGTTCTACAGACAGGAGACAGTTAACTCACTGTGTTCTACAGACAGGAGACAGTTAACTCACTGTGTTCTACAGACAGGAGACAGTTAACTCACTGTGTTCTACAGACAGGAAACAGTTAACTCACTGTGTTCTACAGACAGGAGACAGTTAACTCACTGTGCTCTACAGACAGGAGACAGTTAACTCACTGTGTTCTACAGACAGGAGACAGTTAACTCACTGTGCTCTACAGACAGGAGACAGTTAACTCACTGTGTTCTACAGACAGGAGACAGTTAACTCACTGTGTTCTACAGACAGGAGACAGTTAACTCACTGTGTTCTACAGACAGGAGACAGTTAACTCACTGTGTTCTACAGACAGGAGAAGGTTAACTCACTGTGCTCTACAGACAGGAGCCAGTTAACTCACTGTGCTCTACAGACAGGAGACAGTTAACTCACTGTGTTCTACAGACAGGAGACAGTTAACTCACTGTGTTCTACAGACAGGAGACAGTTAACTCACTGTGTTCTATAGACAGGAGACAGTTAACTCACTGTGCTCTACAGACAGGAGACAGTTAACTCACTGTGTTCTACAGACAGGAGACAGTTAACTCACAGTGTTCTACAGACAGGAGACAGTTAACTCACTGTGTTCTACAGACAGGAGACAGTTAACTCACTGTGTTCTACAGACAGGAGACAGTTAACTCACTGTGCTCTACAGACAGGAGACAGTTAACTCACTGTGTTCTACAGACAGGAGACAGTTAACTCACTGTGTTCTACAGACAGGAGACAGTTAACTCACTGTGTTCTACAGACAGGAGACAGTTAACTCACTGTGTTCTACAGACAGGAGACAGTTAACTCACTGTGTTCTACAGACAGGAGACAGTTAACTCACTGTGCTCTACAGACAGGAGACAGTTAACTCACTGTGTTCTACAGACAGGAGAAGGTTAACTCACTGTGCTCTACAGACAGGAGCCAGTTAACTCACTGTGCTCTACAGACAGGAGACAGTTAACTCACTGTGTTCTACAGACAGGAGACAGTTAACTCACTGTGCTCTACAGACAGGAGACAGTTAACTCACTGTGTTCTACAGACAGGAGACAGTTAACTTACTGTGCTCTACAGACAGGAGCCAGTTAACTCACTGTGCTCTACAGACAGGAGACAGTTAACTCACTGTGTTCTACAGACAGGAGACAGTTAACTCACTGTGTTCTATAGACAGGAGACAGTTAACTCACTGTGCTCTACAGACAGGAGACAGTTAACTCACTGTGCTCTACAGACAGGAGACAGTTAACTCACTGTGCTCTACAGACAGGAGACAGTTAACTCACTGTGCTCTACAGACAGGAGACAGTTAACTCACTGTGTTCTACAGACAGGAGACAGTTAACTCACTGTGTTCTACAGACAGGAGACAGTTAACTCACTGTGCTCTACAGACAGGAGACAGTTAACTCACTGTGTTCTACAGACAGGAGACAGTTAACTCACTGTGTTCTACAGACAGGAGACAGTTAACTCACTGTGTTCTACAGACAGGAGACAGTTAACTCACTGTGTTCTACAGACAGGAGACAGTTAACTCACTGTGTTCTACAGACAGGAGACAGTTAACTCACTGTGCTCTACAGACAGGAGACAGTTAACTCACTGTGTTCTACAGACAGGAGAAGGTTAACTCACTGTGCTCTACAGACAGGAGCCAGTTAACTCACTGTGCTCTACAGACAGGAGACAGTTAACTCACTGTGTTCTACAGACAGGAGACAGTTAACTCACTGTGCTCTACAGACAGGAGACAGTTAACTCACTGTGTTCTACAGACAGGAGACAGTTAACTTACTGTGCTCTACAGACAGGAGCCAGTTAACTCACTGTGCTCTACAGACAGGAGACAGTTAACTCACTGTGTTCTACAGACAGGAGACAGTTAACTCACTGTGTTCTATAGACAGGAGACAGTTAACTCACTGTGCTCTACAGACAGGAGACAGTTAACTCACTGTGCTCTACAGACAGGAGACAGTTAACTCACTGTGCTCTACAGACAGGAGACAGTTAACTCACTGTGCTCTACAGACAGGAGACAGTTAACTCACTGTGTTCTACAGACAGGAGACAGTTAACTCACTGTGTTCTACAGACAGGAGACAGTTAACTCACTGTGCTCTACAGACAGGAGACAGTTAACTCACTGTGCTCTACAGACAGGAGACAGTTAACTCACTGTGCTCTACAGACAGGAGACAGTTAACTCACTGTGTTCTACAGACAGGAGACAGTTAACTCACTGTGTTCTACAGACAGGAGACAGTTAACTCACTGTCCTCTACAGAGAAAGACAACACAGAGCAGGAACACCAAACTGATCAGATTAAGAAACTGTAGTTGAAGCGAAAATATGCCTCCTTCAAGTCTATGCAATGCTAGTGAGACACACACACACATTGCTACTCCTAATCACCATCGTTTTGAGCATCTTCTTCTTCAGTCCGTTGTTCTGTACGTACTGTGGTCCAGGCACACAGCTGACCACGGCTGGCATGCCACCTTCACAGGACCCTGTGGCATTTCCTATGGAGTGAGAATAGATACACAATTATGTAAATACACAGAATACAACTCACAAATATGCACAGTGAATATATTCAACATAACTCTGGTCTGATCATGGTGCAATCTCCCTCCATAATTACCCTTGTTGGACTCCAGGGGGCAGGCTGCCAGGTGGACCTCAGTGCCAACACACGCCACAGAGTGGAGGCGATACTGATGCTTCTGACGCTCTGTGGTCAGTCTGGAGGGGTTTGAATGGGGGGAGGAGAAAGGGGAGGAGGAGGAGGAGGAGGAGGAGGAGGAGGAGGAAGGGGGGAGGAGGAGGAGGAGGAGGAGGAGGAGGAGGAAGGGGAAGGAGGAGGAGCGGGAGGAAGGGGAGGAGGAGCAGGTAGAGGAGGCACACGAGGAGGAGGAAGGGGAGGGGAGGAGGAAGAGGAGGAGGAGGAGGAGCAGGAGGAAGGGAAGGAGGAGCAGGAAGAGGAGGCACATGAGGAGGAGGAAGGGGAGGGGAGGAGGGGGATGATACAGAAAAGAGTGAGTGGAATGTGGCTGTGTGCACCAGAGTTGGAGTCAACACCATTCTGGGCCAGACAGTGCAGTATAGAGCAGGTAGGGTTGAACTGAGCTGGGCCAGACAGTACAGTATAGAGCAGGTAGTGTTGAACTGAGCTGGGCCAGACAGTACAGTATAGAGCAGGTAGTGTTGAACTGAGCTGGGCCAGACAGTACAGTATAGAGCAGGTAGGGTTGAACTGAGCTGGGCCAGACAGTACAGTATAGAGCAGGTAGTGTTGAACTGAGCTGGGCCAGACAGTACAGTATAGAGCAGGTAGGGTTGAACTGAGCTGGGCCAGACAGTACAGTATAGAGCAGGTAGTGTTGAACTGAGCTGGGCCAGACAGTACAGTATAGAGCAGGTAGGGTTGAACTGAGCTGGGCCAGACAGTACAGTATAGAGCAGGTAGTGTTGAACTGAGCTGGGCCAGACAGTACAGTATAGAGCAGGTAGGGTTGAACTGAGCTGGGCCAGACAGAACAGTATAGAGCAGGTAGTGTTGAACTGAGCTGGGCCAGACAGTACAGTATAGAGCAGGTAGTGTTGAACTGAGCTGGGCCAGACAGTACAGTATAGAGCAGGTAGTGTTGAACTGAGCTGGGCCAGACAGTACAGTATAGAGCAGGTAGTGTTGAACTGAGCTGGGCCAGACAGTTCAGTATAGAGCAGGTAGTGTTGAACTGAGCTGGGCCAGACAGTACAGTATAGAGCAGGTAGTGTTGAACTGAGCTGGGCCAGACAGTACAGTATAGAGCAGGTAGTGTTTGAACTGAGCTGGGCCAGACAGTACAGTATAGAGCAGGTAGAGTTGAACTGAGCTGGGCCAGACAGTACAGTATAGAGCAGGTAGTGTTGAACTGAGCTGGGCCAGACAGAACAGTATAGAGCAGGTAGGGTTGAACTGAGCTGGGCCAGACAGTACAGTATAGAGCAGGTAGGGTTGAACTGAGCTGGGCCAGACAGTACAGTATAGAGCAGGTAGTGTTGAACTGAGCTGGGCCAGACAGTACAGTATAGAGCAGGTAGTGTTGAACTGAGCTGGGCCAGACAGTACAGTATAGAGCAGGTAGTGTTGAACTGAGCTGGGCCAGACAGTACAGTATAGAGCAGGTAGTGTTGAACTGAGCTGGGCCAGACAGTACAGTATAGAGCAGGTAGTGTTGAACTGAGCTGGGCCAGACAGTACAGTATAGAGCAGGTAGTGTTGAACTGAGCTGGGCCAGACAGTACAGTATAGAGCAGGTAGTGTTGAACTGAGCTGGGCCAGACAGTACAGTATAGAGCAGGTAGTGTTGAACTGAGCTGGGCCAGACAGTACAGTATAGAGCAGGTAGTGTTGAACTGAGCTGGGCCAGACAGTACAGTATAGAGCAGGTAGTGTTGAACTGAGCTGGGCCAGACAGTACAGTATAGAGCAGGTAGTGTTGAACTGAGCTGGGCCAGACACTGCAGTATAGAGCAGGTAGGGTTGAACTGAGCTGGGCCAGACAGAACAGTATAGAGCAGGTAGTGTTGAACTGAGCTGGGCCAGACAGTACAGTATAGAGCAGGTAGGGTTGAACTGAGCTGGGCCAGACAGTACAGTATAGAGCAGGTAGTGTTGAAACTGAGCTGGGCCAGACAGTACAGTATAGAGCAGGTAGTGTTGAACTGAGCTGGGCCAGACAGTACAGTATAGAGCAGGTAGTGTTGAACTGAGCTGGGCCAGACAGTACAGTATAGAGCAGGTAGGGTTGAACTGAGCTGGGCCAGACAGTACAGTATAGAGCAGGTAGGGTTGAACTGAGCTGGGCCAGACAGAACAGTATAGAGCAGGTAGTGTTGAACTGAGCTGGGCCAGACAGTACAGTATAGAGCAGGTAGTGTTGAACTGAGCTGGGCCAGACAGTACAGTATAGAGCAGGTAGTGTTGAACTGAGCTGGGCCAGACAGTTCAGTATAGAGCAGGTAGTGTTGAACTGAGCTGGGCCAGACAGTACAGTATAGAGCAGGTAGGGTTGAACTGAGCTGGGCCAGACAGTACAGTATAGAGCAGGTAGTGTTGAACTGAGCTGGGCCAGACAGTACAGTATAGAGCAGGTAGTGTTGAACTGAGCTGGGCCAGACAGTTCAGTATAGAGCAGGTAGTGTTGAACTGAGCTGGGCCAGACAGTACAGTATAGAGCAGGTAGTGTTGAACTGAGCTGGGCCAGACAGTTACAGTATAGAGCAGGTAGTGTTGAACTGAGCTGGGCCAGACAGTACAGTATAGAGCAGGTAGTGTTGAACTGAGCTGGGCCAGACAGTACAGTATAGAGCAGGTAGTGTTGAACTGAGCTGGGCCAGACAGTACAGTATAGAGCAGGTAGTGTTGAACTGAGCTGGGCCAGACAGTACAGTATAGAGCAGGTAGTGTTGAACTGAGCTGGGCCAGACAGTACAGTATAGAGCAGGTAGTGTTGAACTGAGCTGGGCCAGACAGTACAGTATAGAGCAGGTAGTGTTGAACTGAGCTGGGCCAGACAGTACAGTATAGAGCAGGTAGAGTTGAACTGAGCTGGGCCAGGACAGTACAGTATAGAGCAGGTAGTGTTGAACTGAGCTGGGCCAGACAGTACAGTATAGAGCAGGTAGTGTTGAACTGAGCTGGGCCATACAGTACAGTATAGAGCAGGTAGTGTTGAACTGAGCTGGGCCAGACAGTACAGTATAGAGCAGGTAGTGTTGAACTGAGCTGGGCCAGAACAGTACAGTATAGAGCAGGGTAGTGTTGAACTGAGCTGGGCCAGACAGTTACAGTATAGAGCAGGTAGGGTTGAAACTGAGCTGGGCCAGACAGTACAGTATAGAGCAGGTAGTGTTGAAACTGAGCTGGCGCCAGACAGTACAGTATAGAGCAGGTAGTGTTGAACTGAGCTGGGCCAAGTACAGTACAGTATAGAGCAGGTAGTGTTGAACTGAGCTGGGCCAGACAGTACAGTATAGAGCAGGTAGTGTGTGAAACTGAGCTGGGCCAGACAGTACAGTATAGAGCAGGTAGAGTTGAACTGAGCTGGGCCAGACAGTACAGTATAGAGCAGGTAGTGTTGAACTGAGCTGGGCCAGACAGTACAGTATAGAGCAGGTAGAGTTGAACTGAGCTGGGCCAGACAGTACAGTATAGAGCAGGTAGGGTTGAACTGAGCTGGGCCAGACAGTACAGTATAGAGCAGGTAGAGTTGAACTGAGCTGGGCCAGACAGTACAGTATAGAGCAGGTAGTGTTGAACTGAGCTGGGCCAGACAGTACAGTATAGAGCAGGTAGAGTTGAACTGAGCTGGGCCAGACAGTACAGTATAGAGCAGGTAGTGTTGAACTGAGCTGGGCCAGACAGTACAGTATAGAGCAGGTAGTGTTGAACTGAGCTGGGCCAGACAGTACAGTATAGAGCAGGTAGAGTTGAACTGAGCTGGGCCAGACAGTTCAGTATAGAGCAGGTAGAGTTGAACTGAGCTGGGCCAGACAGTACAGTATAGAGCAGGTAGTGTTGAACTGAGCTGGGCCAGACAGTACAGTATAGAACAGGTAGTGTTGAACTGAGCTGGGCCAGACAGTACAGTATAGAGCAGGTAGAGTTGAACTGAGCTGGGCCAGACAGTTCAGTATAGAGCAGGTAGAGTTGAACTGAGCTGGGCCAGACAGTACAGTATAGAACAGGTAGGGTTGAACTGAGCTGGGCCAGACCAGTACAGTATAGAGCAGGTAGGGTTGAACTGAGCTGGGCCAGACAGTACAGTATAGAGCAGGTAGTGTTGAACTGAGCTGGGCCAGACAGTACAGTATAGAGCAGGTAGTGTTGAACTGAGCTGGGCCAGACAGTACAGTATAGAGCAGGTAGGGTTGAACTGAGCTGGGCCAGACAGTACAGTATAGAGCAGGTAGAGTTGAACTGAGCTGGGCCAGACAGTACAGTATAGAGCAGGTAGAGTTGAACTGAGCTGGGCCAGACAGTACAGTATAGAGCAGGTAGTGTTGAACTGAGCTGGGCCAGACAGTACAGTTATAGAGCAGGTAGGGTTGAACTGAGCTGGGCCAGACAGTACAGTATAGAGCAGGTAGTGTTGAAACTGAGCTGGGCCAGACAGTACAGTATAGAGCAGGTAGTGTTGAACTGAGCTGGGCCAGACAGTACAGTATAGAGCAGGTAGTGTTGAACTGAGCTGGGCCAGACAGTACAGTATAGAGCAGGTAGTGTTGAACTGAGCTGGGCCAGACAGTACAGTATAGAGCAGGTAGAGTTGAACTGAGCTGGGCCAGACAGTACAGTATAGAGCAGGTAGTGTTGAACTGAGCTGGGCCAGACAGTACAGTATAGAGCAGGTAGGGTTGAACTGAGCTGGGCCAGACAGTACAGTATAGAGCAGGTAGGGTTGAACTGAGCTGGGCCAGACAGTACAGTATAGAGCAGGTAGAGTTGAAACTGAGCTGGGCCAGACAGTACAGTATAGAGCAGGTAGTGTTGAACTGAGCTGGGCCAGACAGTACAGTATAGAGCAGGTAGTGTTGAACTGAGCTGGGCCAGACAGTACAGTATAGAGCAGGTAGTGTTGAACTGAGCTGGGCCAGACAGTACAGTATAGAGCAGGTAGAGTTGAACTGAGCTGGGCCAGACAGTACAGTATAGAGCAGGTAGAGTTGAACTGAGCTGGGCCAGACAGTACAGTATAGAGCAGGTAGTGTTGAACTGAGCTGGGCCAGACAGTACAGTATAGAGCAGGTAGTGTTGAACTGAGCTGGGCCAGACAGTACAGTATAGAGCAGGTAGTGTTGAACTGAGCTGGGCCAGACAGTACAGTATAGAGCAGGTAGAGTTGAACTGAGCTGGGCCAGACAGTACAGTATAGAGCAGGTAGTGTTGAACTGAGCTGGGCCAGACAGTACAGTATAGAGCAGGTAGTGTTGAACTGAGCTGGGCCAGACAGTACAGTATAGAGCAGGTAGAGTTGAACTGAGCTGGGCCAGACAGTACAGTATA